GTTAAAATACCGCAAGTGTATTATTTTTTTTCAATATCATTAAATTTTATAAAGAAATAAATAAGCGAAAAAAAATCCATTTTAAGTCAATATAATTTCATCTATCTATTTAAAAAATGGTATAAAACATACATATGTACCTCTGTACCTATAATCTATTGGTACTAATATTATAAAACTGAAGAGTTTGTTTGTTTATTTGTTTTGTTGAACGCGCTAATCTCAGGAACTACTAATCCGATTTGAAAAATTCATTTTGCATTAGATAACCCGTTAACTGAGGAAAGCTATAGGCTATATATAATCCCGGAAAAATGTACGGTTCCCGTTGTCTAGGGATGAACCCGAAGCCAAACGTGAAACGAGGGTGAGTCGCTAATCTTAATAACATTTTTATGCATGCAAAGGACATTTGCCGTGGCGAATTAAATTTCGAATATATAAAATAATATGTACAAAATGTTCTATCTATTCTTTATCCTTTTGAAGTAAAATGTTGCATAAAATACATGTATATTTACTTTATACTGTAAACATATAATTATTTATGAATAGCCAATTAATACGCCTAAAATGCTATTAGCATACCATACATACAATAATTTTTAAATTATACTATATGTACTGACTAAAATTACCTTTTCGAGTTTTTTATAATTCAGTTCTCCAACTTTTACAGTCCTATTTTCTCTCCCACTCTCCTAGCATCATTGTCACTAAAATTTTACAGTAAGTTCCAAGTTCCCCATTATAGAAATATGAAATAAGGGACTGTTAAGTTTAGTGCATAATCCACAATGTGGATGAAACACGATGAACGTCGCCTTCTCAGGTACCTCGATGCGGCGACGTTCATCATCAAAATATATAGGTTTTAATGGAGTTAAAAGGCCAAGGAAGAAATTTTATATTTTTAATTTTTAGAGATATTTTTTGTGTCGGGCATTACTTAAAATATTTAATTTTAGTTTTATTTTATTCTTTTTAAATTACTCGCGGACATTAATTCTAATAGATAACTGTCATTAAGAATATTTTTGTTATGAGCACACTATATCTGCTGTAAGTGTCTGAGCAATTGAGCATCCCGCAGACTAATTGATGCTACAGTATCAAATCAAGGTTAGCACCAGCACCAATCTTTTACATCATATTCTGTAATTTTTGCGAGTGTTTTTTTCTTTCTCCACTCTAAAATTATTTGATCTAACACCTCCAGGTAAATTTTAAGTAATTAATTAAAATTCTAAGAAATCTATTGTTAACTGACACGCCGGCGTGTCCGCGGCCGTGGAGGGATTTATTCTGAAGATTAAAACGATTCTTTCAAGAAACGGGAAGACAGTTTAATGAAAACTTTTCTTATACGGAAGGTATTTTAGCGATTTTGTTACAAAATGTTATTCTAATTGTTACTAAGTCGTGAAATAATTATTTAGTATACATAAGTACTTGTTATCTTTTATATTGAAACAGTCCTCCCGGGAAAGGGGAAGATAGTTCTACAAAAGTTTAATTTCTTATGCCGCGATCGATTTTAATACAAAATGATATAATGAATAAACTAAGTTGCTGTTGGATATTTATGTTTATTGTATATTTGGATATTCTTATTCGGAAAACTTAAAGTATTCCGGGGCTGGGTATGTCGGGGCAAGGGGTAGATAATTTAATTTCTTCATTTAGAAGCTCGCCCTCGTTTCGCTCGGGTTGGCCTCTAGAAATACACAAATAAGTCTATCCCACGGGAATTGTACATTTTTTCGAGATAAAAAGTAACCTATGTGCAATTCCAGATGCTAATCTATCTCTGTGCCAAATTTTATTCATATTCGTACAGCCATCCTGGCGTGAAACAGTAACAACCATCCAAACTCACAAACTTTCGCATTTATAATATTAATAATAATACGGATTCATATGAGAATAGAATTAATAGATTTATTTAATAGTTAAGGATTCTATGCATCTTCCGAAGAAGCTAATTTATAAGAAATATCTGCTTATTGTGTACATTTTTATACATCACGCTTAGTTCGTATTTGCCGTTATTGATTTTAATATTAATAACAACATTTTAGCTCATTGTGTTGATTTTTCAAGTCTACTTAATATAAAACATACATTTTTAAAACATAGTTTATACTTTCAATTTTGACAACAGTAATTTTAGCACTGTAAATGTTTGATACGGTGTATCTTTCTTTACAAGAGTCATTTTACACAGTTCACACACTATATTTTCCCATTCACTTAACTGTACGAGTATTTGACTTTTCCACTTCTCGGATTTCTTCTCGATCTTTGCTTAACTCTGAAATTCAACTACCCACTCGAGACACTGCCTTCCTTTTTATAGGTATGCATGAACATAGAGCATTCTAATATTAGAAAATTCTATTCTAAAAAGTATATTGTCGCTTTCTCACACACTACAATTACCTATTCCTGTCTTTGATTATCATAAGGTGACAATTATTATGGTATTTTCATCTATTCTTAAGCAAAGTTCAGGCATGTAATTTACGTAGAGACGTTCAACACTCTCCACTATGCAACAATATGAAGACTGAATGAATGAATGAAAGAAAAAAAAATGAATTTTAATTTTAACAAAGTTTCCGATAAGAGCGTCAAATTGTAAGCTATAATTGAGTATTTACTCGTATTACCGACCGACATTTACAAATAATCAAAATCGGTGTAGTTTTGACTAGTTCTGAGATAAAGCACTTATTTTGGTTAACGCTTCTCCGCTAATGGGAATAGCTTGGAGGCGTTATCACATAATTGTCAAGGTATGTATCATCTATAAAATCATTTATATCCTGGTAGACGAATAGTCTTTATAATTTATTTATTAAAATTTAAATGTTCTTTTAACGTTTTTTCAAAAGATTTTTGAACGCTTTCTAAGATCCTGTTGTAAAAACGTATACATTGTCCTTAAAAGGAATTACTGATTCGATTTAACCTTGTTATAGGTATTACAAATTCGTTTTTGTTTCTCGTATTAATGCATGCATTTCTTGGCAACATGAAATTTTTATAACATTTTCGTACACGTAGTAAAAAAAGGGAAGAAGAATCCATAAATCTGAAATTCAGATCTAGAGATCAAGAGAAAGTCTAAAAGTCTAAAATTATATGAAAAACTATCTTTCCTTTCCAGCATAATTATATATGATGATAACGTTACTAAATTTAAAAAATTATAATTATATACTTATTCAGATTTGGCCCCTAGTGAGAATACTAGAGGCCAACTATTGGGCCACCCTTGTATAATATATTCTTTATTGCACTTAAATTTACACTAATGCCAAGGTGGATTGATTATAGAGATTGTATTAGAAATTATAGAACTTGTTAAAAATGATTAGTATCAAAATAATTTGTATCATGTTATTTTGCAATTTATGCGAATATATTTAAATTTTATCTCTTTAGCCACATATATAAAACTTTACTTAACTCAGTTTATTTAGGTGATTTTCGTATATTCAGTAAAAGAAGAAATATTGTGTATACATGCATCTACATCAGGCCTATATCTTTATAACTCGTGGGCTGCCACGAATGCTCCCCGTAGCATCTTGCGTAGCTGACAATGGACCATAGAAAGGTTAAAACACCAAATCGAAATACATTGGGAGGTCGTAGATTTGAGACTATTTTACTCAAGAGCTTATGCAATTTTACTCTATATATTTTGAGCATAGTTTCAATATAGAATATATACATAAGTATATGTATAGGTATATAAGTGCAGACCCTGATGTAATCGTATAATATTGATAAATATACGTATATTACGACATATGAATCGCACTTACAAGTTATATTTATATCAAACCTTATTGTCTCACAATTTGGGAGAGATAAAATTTAATGCGTGTAAAACACTTGTAAGTTTCTTAATGTGTAATTTAGAAAAACTTAACGATTCTAAGAGGATTTTAAAAAATATGCCAAATAGATGTTTTGATTTTATATTTTCTAAAATTTTGATATACACATGCAAGTGTGGATTGAGCCAATTGTTCCCTATAATGTTCTGGTGTAGAAAAACGCTGGAGCTTATAAGTATTCACCAATACATGTACTAAAGTTTTAAGTCTTGACGCAGAAGTAATTTTTCTGACCACATCGTCGTGCTCTTTACATAGATTGAAAATACGGCGAACAACTACAACCATCTTAAATTTAATTTTTTAACACCAAGTAGTTTCTTATTTTAACATTGTATATATATAAATAGTTCATTATTTCTACCAACATTACTTGCTAGTATTAAAAAGGTTTGACTAGAAATCTTTCACAAAATTTAAATAGACCTGTGTCAAATCTTAGTTCAGATATTATTTAAAAGTTATGAAAAATATATATTCGTAATATATATATATAATACACAGATAATCCAATAAGAGTTCTATTTTTTCAATAGGGATACGTTACGTAAAAACTATATATTTACTCATATAAACATTGAAATTAAAACATAATTCGTATACTCTATATATTAATTTATAAATATTTTTAAATTAACTTTAAACCTGATCCAATCTTCCATTAAGCCTTTCAAGACTTAAAAAAAACTCGTCTTTGATATTCTTGTGTCAATACCAAAGATATTGTGACGGACAAGATTATCAGAATAAAGCCTAAAAGGGGCAATTTACATTGATTAATAGACTAACTTACAACATAAAAAATATATAAAACTACTAACACTTCTCCCATATCACGTTAAAAACTATAAAACACGTAAGAGATTAACTAATGTGAATTTCATAGTTTATTGCAAGATCGACATTGTCATTGGAATGTCTTAAGACATATTTCATTTATTTCGATGGATTCTCAAAGGGCTCTACGGGAAAAAAGCTTAATGCATTCGATTTTAGATACACCTGAACGTGTTCTGTCGACATTACATCAAACTATGTCGTACCCACAAACGGTGATTAGTCCATATACCAGTTTCGAAATTGAGTGGTATGATTGGAGGACGTGGAGGGTGGTGCCTTATAGCGTCAAATGCCGCCGAGGACTTGCATCTCCATGGGCTCGGTGCTGACCGAGGGGCCGGGCTGGCTGCGCAACTGGCGGCTGTTGTCGAAAGTCCAGCGCGTGATGAAATGCTCCGGCCGGCGCCGCGAGCTCGGGAGCACAGTGGTTACGGCGCTAGTAGCCTCCGTGCAGTTGCTCCCGTAAGAGGCTGTGGACAAACCTGACGTTCAATCTCCTTAGAATACACAGTTTCGCCTACAGCGCATATGATAGATACTAATTTACTTTTTTACTAGTAAATTCGCGAGGTTGAACGATTTTAGTTACTGCGAGTGAAGTGTTTGTTTTTGAAATGGGTTTCAGTGTTTCAGCGACCCACTGCATGATCACTACTATAACATGGGGATTATTCTTTTAGGCTTTGTCACATAGGAACGTTCCGTGTCGTTGAAATTACATTTACATATAACTAGCTACTCTTTATTTTTTTATTTTATAAGAGCGCAAGGTCCTCGAACAGGAGTCTATCGCATTAAGAAAAAATGTTACCACTCCAAAGTAACTAATTAAAATTTATTGTCTAGTTTATTTTTCTATAGATAGCAATTATTTTTTTAAGTGAACTCAAATCTTATATTACTTTATCTTTAATTAAAATTTATTGCAGAGCTTTATATAAAACGTACGTATAAGCGGACAATATTTTAATATATGAATATCTAATAGGTAAATATGTATTTTACGTATCGAAATATATTATATTTCCTATGCGTCGGCTGGCACCGACATCGAAAATATCTGATTAGGTATCTATTCTAAATGAAAACCCCCGTTTAGTTATTTTATATGTCACCTATCTAAGAATACTTGGACTAATGAGACGAATCTAACAATACCTTAATTAAAGAAATCCATCGAGTGGTTTGGAAGATATGAGGGAATAAAGAATATTACAAACATACAAAGATAGGCGCGAAAAACACAACCCTTTCCTTGCAGTTGGGTAATAAGCACTAAGGCGACGAGTAGAAGTGCCTTTTTTAACGAGTAGGAAACTACTCCTTTTAGTACCTTCTTTTTTAACATAATATGATACTTAACAACATTTACTTTATCTTCATCTTACCATTATGTTATACTCGTAACTATAACTTTTTTATTTTAAAATATTATTTTATTATGTACATTTTAACAAGTTGCGTTGAGTGTTAGTTGTCAGCACGATCAAATTTCTTGATTCTTGAGATTGTTGGTATTAAACTTATTATGTTTTAACGAACTGATACTTAAAAGTTTCGGCCTTGGAACGATTTAATTTTGATTTAATTTCTCATTGTATATTAGTGATGTAACAAATGTTCGATTTTCTTACATTTGCGAATGTGAATACGAATATTCGTCTCCAATATTCGCGAATGCGAATGTCTTCTTTTAGCGCTTTTTAAGAGCGCGTTTATATTTCATTATCTTTAATTCTTAGACAAATATATATAGTGGAATGGAAAAATGTATAATTGAAGCCAAAGGTAATATCATTTTGGATGATATCATTTTGGATATTAGAAGTCTAATTTTGATTTAAATATATATTTTTCGTTTTCTGTAAAAAATATAAAAATAAAAAACCGACTGCATACAAGCTAACTAAAAGATGAAAACAATTTCACGATGGAATATAGTACTAAGCAGTCGGAGACATACACGTTTCATCCTTGCCGCAAGATGTACATACTCGTATGTATGTCTCCGACTACATATATTCCGAGAGCTGGCGACGAATTTTGGGAAGGTCCTTTTGGCAAGTTGAAATTGTGAAAAAATATAATTTCGTCAATTGACGAGTCCAGTCCCGCAAATCTGGTATAGCGTTTGCGGTTATTGCGTTACTGCGCAGAATATAACATTTGCACAAAAAAATAACCAAAAAATTTTTTTTGGCAACTTCATTTTTGATTTTTTTTAATCTTATAATTTAGTTTTTATATAATTTAAAAAAAAGAACCCCAGACGTTTCTGATGGTTATAAACTATTACCAGACCTCTCCAAAGATATTTTATTAAAATTCCTAAAAATATACTTTTGGCAATCTGTAATATTAATCACGTATTTATTGAGGAATTTCAATAACACTCGCAAATCGCCAGACAAATTTACCGGTTTTAAACAATTACCAGACGTAAATAAAGTTTAAAGATCGGTACTTCAAAAAAGTCTTATGCGTAGCCATAGGTGCGAGAAAGATAGCTTATCGAGGTATGCCAGCAGCTGATGGGGGCCCAAGGTCCTCGCGCTGTGATTGGTTATCGAGAAACCGCGCGTTTCGAGTATGGTTCGGGTTCTGCGTTCACAACAGAGTATTTTAGAGTAGTTTATTAGGGTTTCGTTCCCAAAGGGTAAAACGGGACCCTATTACTAAGACTCCGCTGTCCGTTCGTCTGTCTGTCCGTCTGTCACCAGGCTGTGTCTCATATGAAATAGTATTAAATAACAGTCGCTAGTATTAAATCTATGTATTAGAAACATAACTATCATATGTATTTTATAATAGTCTCTAATATATGTTAGTATTTGTAAAGATGAATAAAGCTCAATTTATATAACTTAAAGTCGTATCTTTATTTACGTCTGGGAATTGTTTAAAACAGCTAAATTTGTCTGGCGATTTGCCGGTATTATTAAAATTACTCAATAAATGCGTGATTAAAATTTCAGTTTTGCTGTATTTGCAGTCCTCATATTTATATAGTTTTATATCACCTACCTAAGAACACTTGGACTAATAAGAGGAATCTAATGATACCTTAATTTAAAAAATCCAAATGGTTTGGAAGATATGAGGGAATAAAAATTATTACAAATAAATATACAAAGATAGGCGCGAAAAGCATAACCCTTTCCTTGCAGTCGGGTAATAAAAAAGAATTGTAAACTTTATTTAAAAATTGTAGTTATAAGCTCCTAAATAAGTATATAGTAAAAACCTTACATAATTGTAAAAAGACTTATTAGACCTAGATATTATTATTAATTTGATAAGAGCTTTCAAGTACTTTTTTCAAAAAAGATATTATAATTTAAAAGTTTAAATTTTTTTGAAAGTAATGTACATTTATTATATTATATTTTTTTTAGTTTAATTGCGATTTTTTAATATTTTAATTAAACTAACAAGAATTAAAAAGGCAGTATTTCTAATTTAGTTTTGTAGCTCAACACTGTTCCATAATCATTTTCTTATTCAAATATTCGAAATAGGCTTGCAACGAATATTCGGCTATTATTCGGTACTCGGCCTATTCGGCTACTTTTATCTTATTCGGCCGAATACCGAATATCTAGATATTATTCGGCCGAACACAAAATAATAATAGGGAAGATGCGTTGAAATTAGTTTTTTTTCTGCCGTAGAATCTATTTGTGTTATAATTTTTTCGAATTTATCGATATTTTATTAGTTTTTGATCGATTTTAGAGTTATCTGGAAGATTTGATTTTAAGGTAATTATAGAAAGAAATGAAATTCACTCATAGTTAAATCTTGTTTTATAAATTTAAGTCTTATTTCTAAAAGGAACTATCAAAGTTTTTTTAAAATATCATATACATTTTCGGTGGTGTAGCCGCTAGCATGTACGGCTGCACACTCGGAGGTCCTGGGTTCGAGTCCCGGGTCGAGCTAAGTTTAGTTATTGAGTGTTTCTGTATAGTAAGCTTCAGTAACAGCCCGGAGTTGGGAAGTTGGTGGTGTTTCACCCCCGTGCCTCGGAGAGCACGTAAAGCCGTCGGTTAACTCTCACTGGTCGTGTCGAGTGGTCGTCCCACCAGAGTATGAGAGTGACAGGAATAGAGAGTGCACTTGTGTCTGCGCGTACACTTGTGCACTATAATATCTCCTGCGCAGTTGGCTAGTCTCAATGAGATTGGCCACCGTGGTCGGAATCGGCTAGGAGAACATCAACATCAATATTTAATATCAATAGATTTTTACTAGACCTACTTTTGTACCAAACATTTTTCGATAGAACATCACAGTAAGCCGGAAATTGAAAAAAAATATTTTGAACGCTTTGCGTTCCCCATTTCTCGGGGTCAGCTGGGCAGAGGGGGCATTTTACGAATTTCAATCCTTATATACCTGCTAACATTTTAAAATCATAAAACTTCAAATTTTCAATATTTTATTTTCTCTTAAAAATAAACGGTTTCTGATTGGTCTATAGCTATACAGTAAAAATAAAATTTAACTTTGCACTAAATTTCCGATTCAATTTTTTATTTTATAAGGTTTAGGATCACTTACAGAGCATAAAATCACAAAATTTGAACAGATTCCGGTGGAGCTTCAGGCGCCATCTTGAAAAAACTTTTTTGACCGATATCTCGGAAACTATGCACTTTAAGGCAAAAGTTATAAAAAACTATTTTTGTAGAGAATAAAATTTTGGATCTTTTATTTCATGAATTTTTTTTTGTAAAACTTACCGTTTACGATTTAGGGCCCATTTAATGAATTGGTTTTTCCATCTCGGTCGATAACTCTTAAAATATTTGTTAAATCAATAAAATGTATATATCCATTTTTAAAGATCCATTTATTCTACAACTTTTGTTTAAAACTTTTTTTTAATGTCAAGACTTTTTGAGCTATAGGACGTTATAGGCGCCTGCAGTTCCACCGACATCTGTCAGCATTTTGTGATTTTATACTCAGTAAGTGATCCTAAGCCTTATAAAGTAAAAAAAATGGATCGGAAATTTAGTACAAAATTGATCAAAAAAACGCCTTTTCTACTGTGGTATAATTTATAAATTTTAATCTAAGATGAAACAATTAATTTGAATATTCAAATATAACAACTGTTTGTTTTCACTTCTATCAGCAATCCTCATGACTGCTTTTCTTAATACTAAATGTTAGTTCTTTGGAGTTGGATATTTTTTACAATTATGTAACTATATAAGCAATTGTATAAAAAACTAAAAAATCATGCATATTCCCTATTGGTTAAATGAAAATATTGATTTATTTTACTAACCGACTTCAAAAAGCAGGAGATTCTCAATTCGATTGGTATTATTTTAATGTATGTACACATTACGCTTAGATTTATGATGAGATTTACGTAATTCTTCTTTAGTTTGATGCGGAATAGTTGCCATTTGGTCCCATAAAACTTTAACATAGTTCGGCCCAGTAGTTTTCATTTTATGAACATTTTT